AAAAGAACTCCTTGGGGATGGCAGAGCTTGTTAGGGATGAGCAGAAGGGGTAGCAACTGTCACTTCACACACGTGGGGCCAGGGGAAGGGACAGACACTCTCCACTTCCTCTTTATCTAACACAATGGTGAAGTCTCATCAGCCTTCCTGGAAGAGAGCAGACCTTAAATGAGGCTGTCATTTTAGCCTCTTCATATCCAGCGACTTGTGCAAACATGCATAATACATGTATGTGTATAAACTATTGAGACACAAGAGAAGACAAAAGATAGAAGGAAGCCCCTTCAGACAGTCAGAGCTCCAAGTCCAGAAATAGGCAACATCCTGGATGGAGGCCATGAACACTGCTCCCCAGGGGAACACCTGCCTCTACCCAAGTAAAAGCAGATCTTTGTAAGTCTATAACAACCCATGAGTTCTAAGCTGTGCCAGGATGTTTCCCAAAGTCCCCAGCTGCAAGTGCCCTGCCCTTCCTTCATCCCCACACTCCATTGCATGCCATTCATTCTCATCACATGTCCTCTGGCATCTCCTCTGTTCTCCATCTTTGACTAGGGGCAGAACTGTACACAAGACCCACCACTCCTGCTCTGACACCCAAATAATCTAACATTAGTGGATATGGTTGACTGCATCAGTCCTTAGGCCCTGCTGGAGATGAGTGCTGGGTGGGCTAGGGCAGGAAAACTATGACAGGAGGGTCATATCTGACCCTCAAGACAGCTTGGATTTTTTTTGAGACAGCACTATGTAGCCCAGGCTAGCCCCCAAGTGCTAGGATTACAATGTACACCACCATGTTCACTACAAAAATCCCTTTCTAAGTCAAAGAAAGACAGTGGAGGAGGTATAGCTTAGTTGGTAGAGCATTTGAACCAGTATACACAAGCATAATGGTTCAATCCCAGTACAAGAAGAATTGTATGCAGATTTACACATGACAGCAGTATATCTGGTGTCAACAGACTACAAACTACAAGATGTCAAATGCCTGCTGTGAATAGAAGTATGATATATATATATATATATATGTATGTATACACACACACACACACACACACACACATATATAAAAAATAACCTTTTCTCTGAAATGTAACATATATACAAGAAAGTGGACAGACTTCAAGTTTTATGGCTCAGTAGTTTCCCAAGCTGAGGCCACCTGTTCAGACAGGACCACCCAGATCTCCACATGAAGCTTCACATTCCCCCCCCACACACACACACACTGCTTTGCAGTCACAGGCCCTCAGGGTCATCATTCTCCCATGCAATTCCCTGTGCTGAGTTACTGGTGTGATATGGTAGGTGCTGTTTCTGATTCTCTCCACGTTACGTTAGTGAATGGTTCTAAGTCCTTCCCCACATCCGACAGCCTAATTGACTTATCCTTTTTGCTGATAGGCATTTGGATCATTTCCAGGTGGAGGCTGTGGCAAATGGTGCTGTGCTAAGCATTTCTGTGTGTGTCTTGGGGCACACTTCTCCGATGGGAGCAGGACTGCTGAGTGTGTACTCATGTGTGTGTGTCAGGGGAGTAGGGGAGTAGATTCAGCTTTCCTGCTGTATTAGTTTTCTGTTGCTGCCATAACAAATGGCCAAACATCTAATACAACCATGACTTATCAGCTCACCGCAATCAGGTAATCTGTTTGCTGCAGGACACGTGAGGCTAAGACAAAGGTGACAATGAAGAGGCCTCTGGAAAGCACCTGTGTCCTTCAGAAGCATTGGCCAAGTTCAGGCCCATGGACCTGTGTGATGGAGGTCTCTAGCTCCTTGCCATCAGTTAGGAGAAGCCACTCAATCTTCTCATTCTAGTCTTCACAAATCTTCTTCTGTCAACTCTGTGTCCATGGTCTCCAGCTTGGCTGCTTCACCTCTACAAAAGTTCCAAAGTCTCTGGTGGTTTTCCTGTCTCTGGGCAATGGCTTCCAACCAGGACCTAAGATGGGTTCTCAGGTTCTGCCAGGCTCGAAAGTGGTAAGGGTTCCTACCAGATGGGGTGATGGGTTTTCGGGGCCAGCTCACTGCCCTTCTATGACTTGCATGGACTGTTGCATTTCATGTCCCCTCCTTGGTATTCTGGTCCTCTAAACCCTGGGAAATGAGAGGATTTAACTCTGGCTCTCAGTGCCTGAGAAGAGAGACTCCCCGCAGCCCACCCACAGCTTAGAATTCAGCAAATACATTAGGGTGAATTTGACCCCAGTGCAACTTCACATAACACACACAAAAGTACCAAAACCGTGAAACCTTCCCCTCCTCTTCTTCCTCTTCTCTCTCCAATCTCCCCTTCCTTTCCTGATATTTTTTATGTGCCTTTTAATGTCCTTATGAGTGAAGGGAATCTACAATGTGAGATTATTGGCACAAGTCTTACTGTTGATCATCGTATGGCTCAAGGATAGTTTTGACTACAAGGATAAGAACATTTAACTTTGCTCAGAGTCACACACAGCCTGTGTGGTAGAGGAGTGAGGTGACCTCTGTGCTTAAATGTAGGACCCACAAGAATCTCAGCATTCCAATAGGAATTTTGTAGCAAGTAGTTTTTTGTTTGTTTGTTTTTGTTTTTGTTTTTGTTTTTTGAGACAGGGTTTCTCTGTGTAGCTTTGGAGCCTGACCTAGAACTCACTCCATAGCCCAAGCCTGATCTCGAACTCACAGAGATGTGCTTACCTCTGCTTCCCAAGTCCTTGGATTAAAGGTGTGTGCTACCACTGCCCAGGATAGCAGGCAGGGTTTGTGCCCTCTGTTGTATCCACCTGTATTCAGCCTGGTTTCCACAGAGTTCCCAGGAAGATGGACTTTAGCTGGCTGTGATGGTCACCATCCTAACAATGCATCCTTTATGAGCTGTCTTCCCTTCCCTGCTCCAGCCCTGTGTCCTGGAGTCTCCTTCCACCTCAGCAACCTTCAGTCTTATCTCAGGTTCCATTGCCAGGAGCCCCATCTGTGATATCATCCTTTATTTTGGGGCTAGCCTCATGATGGTGCTGGGAACCCACCACACCTACACCCAGACTCACACTTACTCCACATGCATATCACACACACATGCACCCAATGCTACACATGCCACCACTATACATGCACATAATATACACACAAACACACCACATGCTACATATATATCACACACATATATTCTGCATACACTTACCATGTGCATGCTCATACTGCACATATATACTCTCTCCTCTCATATCCCCAATCTTCACCCAGACTCTGTGGAAAGGTGAGGTCCTGGTCTGTAAACAATGACACACAAACACACACACACACACACACACACACACACACACACACCGTCTTGTGGCTGACTGTAGGGTGACTTTCTCCTAGTGTTCTGCCCTTGTATTAACTTTGGAGGGCTTTCACGAGACCCGAGAATGGACAGTTTATGGGCTCTGCTAATAAAATGCCTTGGCTGGAGCCCAAAGTTCTGTCTTCTCTGTACGTGCATTCTATTGGTGATCCTGCTTGGCCACCTTGCAGATTGTTAGCCTCTTCTCAAGTCACCTGACACATCTATGCCAACAAGGCTGACACAGACGTGCCACACAGGGTGTCTTCAGAAACTAAAACCCAGGAGTCTCCTTTTACCCCAAGGACCCAACCCCACACTGCACCCACTAGACCAGCCACTTCCGGGCATCCCTCAAGACCTCCTATGGCCACACAGCCTCACAACCTGCTGGGAAAGGACTCCTCAGCAAACCTACCCAGCCCACCCCTGGGAAACTTCCCTCACACTCCCCACCAACTTGAAAGCCACCCCCTCTCATGTTGTCCTGGCGTGGATCACCGAGCCCGTGGCTTTCTCATGGAAACAGCCCTTCCTTGGATCTGCCTCATTCATTCCCTGAACCTGTTTAGGGTCTGTACTTCTCAGCTGGCCTCTGTATGCCCCTTCCTCACTGGCCTCTGCTACCTGCTCCTCCCTCCCTGTGGGATGAACCTTTGTGGTCCAGACCCTGTGAATGGGAGATGCCATCTGGATAATCAAGGCATGGGCTTCTTAGGAGCTAAGGAGATGCACCATCTCCTCCTGCTGGAATGCTTCAAATAGAGCTGGGCCTAAACTTGTCCATAGGGCCACACCCAAGGACAAGGTCCAGCTCTTCACCCTATTTAGGAGGCTACCTTAGCCCTGCTCCCTTCCACCTTGGCTCCTAGCACTCTCCCGGCAAAAGATTCAAAGTCCAAGATTTAACTACTCCAGAAATCAACACCGTTTGATTTTTTTTTTTTTTTTAATGTTTTACTAGCCAGTAAACTTCGCTTGAGTGAACTGGGCTGGGTTTCTGCCACAGTTCATCAGGCAGGTCGTACTGAAGAAGAACGCAGATGCCCTGACCTCTACAGTGAGACACCTACTTGGAGCCAGGGCAGAAGGTCACCAGGTCCTAAATAGGCTCCTTTTTTTCCACTTAAAATAGTCGTGACAGCCCGGGGTCCCCCTTTATCTTTGTAGACTCCCAGTGCCTCCAGAGCCACGAAACATGGCTGATTCTTTGTGATGTCCATCACTATATGAAGGGTGTCTACAGTTCTTCACCAACCCTTTGATACCCACCCTGTGCCAATAGGACTCGAGGACATAGACCACCCAAAGTTCAGTGGCCATTGTAGGAGGGCCAAGAGGAGAGGTCAGGACTCAGCCTTGAGGCAAGTGTGACCTGGATTTAGGATGCCAGAGGCTGGTCAAGTGAAGAGGTCTGACAGGGGGAACTTTGAGTGCCGAGGCCTCAGAAGCCGGTTCGGGAGGGTACCGTAGGGGCAGTTTTAGCCTGCGGAAGGCGAACCACACATTGCGGGATTCCCAAGTGCAGGCCTGGACCTTTGGCAGTGACCCGGAGAGCTGGGAGCAGAAGAGAGGCTTAACAGGCAAGGCAGCATGCAGAGCCAGCCAAGAGGGCAGCGGGCTGTGCTGCGTAGCGCGGACTCGGCGGCTCCGCCCGCGCTTTTCCGTGCGGCCACGAGGGGGCTCCGCACGGCTCCGGCCAGGCCGCCTGGCGCACGGGCGGGCTGCGCGCGGGATCGCGGCGGGCTGCGGGCGGGCGGGCAGCGCCCGGTTCACGGTGCGGCGGCTGCGGCGGGCGCGGCGGGCGCTGCCGATGGGCCGGGCCCGGGCTGCCGGAGCGCCGGGAGCCGGTGAGTAACGCGCGGTGGCGCGGTACACCTGTGCTGCGGACAAGGGCGTGCGGGGCGCGGCGAGGTCCGCGCGTGGGGCGAGGCGGCGGCGTGGGCGGGGACGGCGGATCGGGCCGCGGGCGGGCACGCGCAGGGCTGACCCGGGGCAAGGTGCGCGCGGGTGACAGTGCGCGTGGCCGGAGCCGAGGCGCGCGTGGCGGGGAGGTGGACGGGCGCCGGGCCGAGAGGCACAGACACCCCCCCACCCCACCTCCCGAGGGCGCGGGACGGGTGTGAGGTCCCGGGGTGGAGGTGCCCAGCAGCGGCTGGAGGCCAGGGCCCTGAGAAGGGCACGCCCCCCAGCCGCTGACAGGAGACCACCTCCCTGCACCTGCTTGTGGCAGAAAATGTCAGTCTGGGCCCAGAATCTCCACCTACATGGGCCTCAGTTTCCCAAGCTATGAAACGGGCACAGCAAGGTTGACCTGCGATGTACATGTGAAGGATGGGAGGTCCTTGATCTTGTGGGAATCAGAGGATCAGTGTGCCCTCAGAGGGGCTGTAGGGAAGTGGCATCTGCTGGGGCTCCGGGTGTGTCCCTCAGGCAGTGGCAGTGGGGGGGGGGAGGCAGGCTCAAGGATGGAGACCGATAAGCGCTGGAGAGAGGTGGGTGCTCTCAACCCTGCTGTCTACCCAGCAGCTGAGGTGGTGAGGTGGTAAGGTCCCCTGCACCCCAACCGACTGCCTCCTGGGGCTGTAGGACAGGTAAGAGATTCCAAGGAGGGTCCAAGGAGGGCCCACCTGATGGACAGAAGTGTTCCCACTTCACAGTCAAGTACACAGACTCACTTGTTCTGTCTCAGGGCCATGAAGTGACAGAGGTGAGGTTCCAGGCTCCTGCCCCAGTATTCCAGCCCCCTTGCCAGGAGCCTCGAGAATGCTGTGTTCGCGGACACCTACTGTGTGAGGTCAGCCACTGCTCCCACACTAGTGTGACCATACCACAGCACAGCTAGCTGCCAAGGGAAAAACCTGAGGCCAATTCAGGAGACCATCTCTAGGAAGGCGATAAAATGGGGTAATGGGCTGGAGAGAGACAGGTAGGGGGTCAGGACCTCAGCCTGGCCAGAGAAGCTATCCGCCCTTGGCTAGAGACCTCTGTCTTGTAAATGGAGAGTGGGGCCCATGGGGAAGTCATCCCGTGGGCTGGACAGGTGCAACATCCCTGGGGCAAGTACAGGTGAGGGATGGGAACAGTTTGGAACCAGGTAAGTCAGAGAGACGTTCTGGGGCCAGTGGGCAGCCTCCGGAGGGTTGGAGTTTAAATAGTGGAAGGAAAGGCTTCATGGTGGTTGAAGAGGTGTGAAAGGGGTAGAAATAAAGCAGGGCTGGAGTGGACATGCAGGCTGGAGTAGGGAGTCGTGGGTGTAGAGATCTGTGAGAGGTTGCGGGTTGTGCAATCCACCCCTGGCGGTGTAGCCACTCAAAGGCCTTTGTCCTGGGAAAACCAGAGCCCTGAAGAGAGCAAGAGTGAGTTGAGCTCAGGCGGAAAGGGAGCCTGGTTTTCGTTCAAATGCTGTCCCACTCCGGTCCTGTAGGAGGCGCATGACCATGGGCGGGGTTGCAGAGGTCCAATGAGATGCTGAGGGTTTGGCCTAGGTCCAGCCTCTGGGACCTTCTCACTTGTCTTTAGGTGTCTTGGAGTGCTGCTCCAGCACTCACATTTGAACTTGGACCAAACTTAGAGTTGGCCGTTTTCCAAAGAGGCCTTTGCTGCTTTAAGTGGGAGGTGAGGGACCTAGAAACCATCACCTAGGTTAAGTGTGCCCATGGCCACCCTGGTGTCATCGAGTCTAACACTGTTAAAGTGACCCTAACCAAAGCGTCTTTAAAAGTATTTGTCTCTTTTCTCACAGTGAGTGCCTGATTCCCAAAGCATCACTACATTTGATCATTTGCTACATCCTAGAACACACAGAATTAAATGGTGTAAACCATTACCGTCCCAAAACAACTACATTAAATTTCAGATATCCCTAGGTGTGCACCCAGAGCTCTAAGCATTTTTTTAAATCTGATACAGCGTTGTGCGTTCCTAGTTGCATTCAGCCTGTTTTTTCACGTCCTTTGTCTTCATGATACAACTTTATTTTTGAAACTGTAAAATATTTTTATGACTCAAAAGTCACAGCTATACAAAAGCTATATTTATAAGTTATTTAGAGGTATGGTTTCATATCTGTGTCCTTGTCCCTGTTTCCCATCAGAGGTAACCATTTTAAACATCTCCTAGATTACCTGTCCATGTTTCTTTTTACCAAACAAGCCATTTATAGTCATATTAGCATATGTTACACCCCCCTTTGTATTGTCATAAAATGCCTCCTAAAAATCAGCTCTCCACAGCCTGTAGGGACCTTTCTTATTGTTTTCCACCACTACACATTACTCCACTGTGTGACTATATCCTAGTTTCTTGAATTTGTGTCCTGTGGGTGGGACCTTTGATTTTTATTCTGGGATTTTGAGTTCCTTTTTTCCTCGGCTTTTCTCTAAGGTTTACTTCATATGTGTGTGTTTATATATGTGTCTTTTTGTGGATGTGCATATGTGGGGGTCAAAAGAGGGTGTTGGATCCCTTGAAGCTAGAGTTACAGGCATTCGTGAGCCTGTATTTATCTTAAATTAATTAAAGTATTAATTTTATTTAAATTTATTTAAAGGGAAGAAAAATTGTACTCGGGACCATGATACAGAGAAAGCAGTTGGACAAAAATCCTCACTGTTTCTGTGCCTGGTAGGACTAATTGCTGCCAGTTTTTTTTTCAAAGGTTTTCTAGCTATTCCATAGTGTTGATATTTGGAACTGGACCATTCCATAGTGTTGATATTTGGAACTGGTGTGTTTACACATGTATACATGTTCCAGTGTGCAAGTGTATGTGTGTGTGTGTGTGTGTGTGTGTGTGTGTGTGTGTGTGTACATGTGTAAGTCAAAGGACAGTCTTGAGTGCTATTCCTCAGGAACCCTCCATATTACTGTTCCTGAGACAGGCGTGGAGCTTGCCAACCAAGCTGGGCTGTCTGGCCAGCAAGCCTCAAGGATATGCCCCATTTATGCCTCCCTAGTACTGAGATTAAAGGCACATGCCATCATGCTTGGTTTAAAAAAAAAAAAGTGAGTTCCAAGGATCAAACTCGGGTCCTTGTGTTTGGAAGGCAAACACTTCACCAGCTTCATTTACTTTTTCTCTGCTACATTTCTATCTCAGCTTCTGGAACTGACATCTTTATGCAGTCATGGGAATCATAGATGCTTTTCTTCCTCAAGGTCACTTCCACAGGTGAAGCTGTCCTTGCGCAAGGTTTCACATTTCCTCACTCAGGAGAATTTCACCAGGCTTGTTGTAGTCATAAATATTTCTTCCTTCCATTGTATATCTTAACTGGTTATTATCTCTGCACATGGTGTGTTTTTCTACCTTTTTCTTATTTTTTTGTTTTGTAATGATTTTGTAGATAGCTTGGGCATTTTGCATCTACAGACACAACAGTATCACACTCCTTTACTAATTTCTAGGAATTTATTACTTTCATCTAATTAAGTTAGTTAACCACCTTCAGTTGGAGCTGGAGAGGTGGCTCAGAGGTTAAAAGCATCTCTGTCCTTCCATGGGACCCAAGTTCAATTTCAGCACCCACAGCAGGTGGCTCACAACCACCTGTAACTCCAGCTCCAGGGGATTCAATGCCCTCATCTGACCTTTGTGAGCACCTGCATAACACATAATACATAAACAAAACATAAGTGAATCCCTCTGATTCAGTATTAAATATTGGATGCAATGGACATCTTTACCTTTGTTACAAAGTTAGCAATGTGCCTGGTCATTCCATGGCAGAAGGAGGCAAGGAGAGAGAGAGAGAGAGAGAGAGAGAGGTAGCCAAGCTGACTTTTCTAATGACTCTCTAACCCATCCTATAAAAATGACAACTCATTTGTAAGAGCTGAACACCCATGGCCTTTTATTGGATCTCCTACCTCATTTTTGTTTAAAGATAGGGTCTTACTATGTACCCCTGGCTGGCCTGGAACTCACTCTGTAGATCAGGCTGGCTTCAAACTCAAAGAGATTCAACTGCCTCTGCCTCCCACATGCTAGGCATGCCACCATGTACAGACCCTGGTTCCTATCTCTACATACTGTAGTATTGAGGGTAAAGTTTCTGGCATATGGACTTAGGGGACATACTGACACAGTATCACAGAGTATCACTCAGTTTTTTGTTTGTTTGTTTGTTTGTTTTCATTTTTTGAGACTGATTTTCTTTCTCTGTGTAGCTTTGTAGACCAAGCTGACCTCAAACTCACAGAGATCCACCTGCCTCTGCCTCCTGTGTGCTGGGATCAAAGGTGTGCACCACCACCATCTGGCTTGGAAATGTTCTGTTTTTAATGAAACATATGTATGCACCACCTGGCAATATGTTATTTCTCCTTGGCACTGTTGGGACAGTGAGCCATATTAGGGGATTCCCTAAAGTCTGGTCTGGGACAAAGGTGAGGTACATAGATCTGAATCTTTGTCCTCAGCCATCCCTGCATTCCTGAAAACAACCCCAGGTGGGCAGGATGCATTCTGCTTTGATATGGTTCTATCGGTTAGGGGTTGTTCTGTAACAGCTTGTCAGCAGCCAGTGGTTGAAGCAGGTGCACCTAATCACTCAAGGCTGGCTCAGGGTCAGTGCTGGCAGGAATAGGGCCCCGTGACCTAATCACCTCTCATTAGGACTCTCCTCTTAACACTGCTGCACTGGGGGACACCTTGAACCTTCAGTGGTCACTCACAGTTCCCAGGGGTCACCTCCAGTTTCTTGTCATGTGGGAGTTTTCTCCATGACTGCTTGCTCCACTAAGCTAAGAAAACCCACAGGGCAGCATTGTACCTGAGCAAAACATAGCTAGGCGAAACACTGACACCACATTGTCAGGGACACAATTTTCTATCACCTTTGATGGT